CATGTCATGGTGACAGTGGTCGCTGGCACAAAATGCAAGACTCGAGCTCCAGCTCCTCGAAACAAGCCCTGTGTTCCTTCTCGTTGGAATACTTGAGAAAGACAGTCCCGCATACCTCGATATCGAATCATATTGATGGCTTCTGTACTAGAAGTAGAAGTCATGCTTGCAGCTGAACCCCGCTGTATTTGCAACCGAAGCTTTGCCATGTCCAAAGGAGAAGTGATGAAAGAAGCCAAGGCCCCTGCTGTGGCACTGCTGCCAACGATCCAAGGCATGGGCAAATCGTCTCCCTTCTTCGATCCCGCAGAATTGATTTCGTTGGATTGATTGTTGTACTTCCTCGATCGAGTCTTCAAGTCTTCGTAAAAGACGAAATATAATGCTGAAAATGGTCCAAAACTAGTCATTGTTGCACCGTAGCCCTTGTAGATCCCCGAAAGTCCTTCTTGTTTGCCAATTGTGATGAGAGCATCCCAGCTCGATTTGTATGAAAGGCGATTGGTACTGCTGCTGCTGCTGCTGCTGCTACTACTACTGGAAGATTGCACTTGCATCCGTTCCTTGACCACGTCCACGGGAACATAAATGATGCATGCAATTGCTTCGGCAAGCATGCCCGACGCAAGGTACACGGCAAAGCTATCTTGTTGGCTACTTCTTGTATTGTTCGAGGTAGTTGTCTCGTCATTCAGCACTTTGTTCAGTTGGTTCTTGATGACATCATAGCTGCAGTAGGTATATTTTAAAGAACGAAAGTAAAATAAAACATTGGGTGAGAGTTGCATAGCTTGGCTATATAGTGAAGCACTTTCCACCCAATGACAAACGCCAGTGGAACTGCACCACGGGAATAACAACAACAACAACAACAACATTCCAGGCCAGCATCACTCAAATCAAAATCCTACCTGCAAAGATAGAGTATCGTACCAGGCGTCCCACCCACCAAGACAGCACCAAATCCTCGATACCAACTGGCAATGCCTTCGCTACGAGCCATGGTTCGCAAAATACTATAGGTTCCGCTGGTTCCTCCTCGACTTTTGGAAGATTTTGTTGGGTCGTCATGACTTATTGGCAGAGCCTGCAGTCGTGCCTTGGCGGTATCCAACTGTGGGATTGATTCATTCATTCATTCGTCCAGAAAATGGCAAGAATGCAAATGTCAATGATTTGTGATTTCTGGAATCATCGATGATTTAGGATTACTTGTGTTCACAGCCATCATTCGTTCGTGTTCACGTACCGGATGTGTGAGACACCGACTGAAAATTCCTGGACTGAAGGTCAGTCTCGCATACCAGTATTCTGCCTGAAAGTCAAGAAACCTGGCCGTGTACTACAGTATGGCACAAGTATTATAATATGAATATGATGTCAAATATTGTGTTGTCCATCCGCATGCATCACGCATTGAAACATAATTATTTTTCAGTATAATAGTTTTTCAATTCTGCGGGATATAATACGCGGCACGAAGTACGTCAGTCCATATAAATATTATCGTCACTGCGTTACGATGTTGTTGTCTTACGAAGTAGTAGCTATGATAGACGGCAGACAGTATTGTAATCAAACGTATTCTTAAAAAGAGTGTTATCATCGTCAGATCGACGTGCTTCCCTCGAGGCCGATTTGTCCTTACTACTTACGGACTCTAGCGATCGTACACGTGCACTACGACAGCATGGTCGATCTCATATTCAATAGCACGGTCACCTTTATTTGAGTCATCATCATCCGGAATCAGTCTCGACGTCTGCATTCTGCATAGTGCCCGTTTTTTCGCAGAGAGTAGTACATTATTTCTACATCGGAGTGTTATTGTCGTTACTATTAATAGCCATATATTTAAACTAATTTTTATCTCTTTCTCCTTCCCTTTTGGTATTGTAGAATGAACCAATCAGCTGATCCTACAGTAGTAGCTTCCGCCGCTCTTGCCGATCATGGACACGCTTACGAGCCTCGGCCTGCCCACCCATTCAACAAAGACTGGAGGGAAGCATCCAATTTCAGCAAGCCATGAAATCGTCTGGTTTCGCGTCGCCGATGCAATCCTA